GATTTCTAAAAGACCAGGCTAAATACAAATCTGCAACAATTTTAGTATCAATCACTTCGCAAGTCAACTGCCAATCTGTGCGACGACATAGGACCGCAAAGTACGACAAGAACTTTATCGCATTTCGTTTACGAAGATTTCGGAGCAAGAACAAGAAAGGCGAAATTTAGGTTCTCACAGTGACGAATATAGATACAGCCTGTCTTCTGTGATGTTACACGGTGTGGTCTGGTAGATATTGAGCGACGTTTCGTCACGCTGATATTGCCCTGAGAATTGAGAATGAGGACAGATGATTTCTCTAAAACGTCGGTCAGTATCTACCAAACTACTCGGTGTAACATCACAGAAGAAAGCATGTATTCAAAAAGAAGACATTAAAATGGCGCTTGCATAATTTAATTTTTGTTGGGCAGTGCATGCAACACCTGTAGTAATACTTTATGTTCTTCTTTGCTTGAAGCCGGATTATGAACATAATCTTAGTACAGTAGCAAGTTAATAGTTACAGCAATTATGCTAAATTATTTTTATACATCTGTCGTATATCATACCAACCTGACAATAATTTTTTTCGAAAATTCCTATAAGAAAGGCATAACCATGTAAAAGTATTTTGAATTTACCGTTATAATGACAGTCATCCTTATTATAAATAAATAAATATATCAACATTACTTAGTATTATTACCGAATTAAAACGTAAGTATTCCAATTTTGCTGGTAATTACATTTTGTACAGTTGGTACTTCTGCTCCGTTCCCATACAAAATAACAATTGACAAAGTCGGGTTCATTCCTGAATGAAAGGCAAAACAGCGTCAAACTGTTTAATTCTGGTGGTAATTACGTCGCAAGGTTTTGGCAGGCCTGCGTCATGCCACATAAACCTAACATGGCGGGCGGGTCGACGGGCGAGCGGGTAAAATTACTAATCTAATTCCCATCAGACCAGGCAGCATTGTGCCGCGTGTCATGCTTGAGGACACCCGTGGATAATCATACACCGTCACGGCGCGAGACCTCACTTGGGAGAAATTCCGCGCTAAATGTCAACAGCTTCTATATGAGAGCTCTGGCAGAGCGAAACAGCCACCCCCCTCCCCCTCAGCCCTTGTAACATTGCCAAGGAAAACTAGGTAGCCCTAGATTCATTCTAGATGTACGCGTGCTACCTCTAGCAGCCACACAGCTTTCGCACTAACTTTACTGTTAGAGAAAGAATCGCCTTTTTGATTTTAAATTTAACAGGATAAGGAACCCTAAATTTTAGCCTCCAGAATATTTAAAATGCTCATATTAACAGATGGTACAATACAAGTCACTACGTTGTATGGCAGCAATTATAGTATAATGTATAAGAAAAATACTTTTGTAAAACTCTACTTCCTGATGAAGAAAAGTCAAACTTCCAAGCACAAAGGCGAGAACATTCAAGAAAATCTAAAAGAAAAAAAAATCTACTCAAAATGTAGAAATTACTAGTCCAAAATCACTCGTATTTAAAAACATTTGATATCTCGAAGCAGTAAACTTGAGATGACACACTCAAACAAAAAGCTACAATTTGTTGCTTTCGTCATATAAACACTGCTGCCTTCATCATGCCATTCCGTGCTTCGAACTAAAACTATACCTTATATAATTATAATATTAAATTTACTTTGACTTTTCTTAGCGGTCATTAATTACTTGACTCTATTATCAACCATACGGTGGTAAAGTTCGTGGCTTCCATCCTGGGGTATGGGTTCGAAGTTCGGTCAGGATATCGGCCACTCTGATTGGATTTTTCGTTGTTTTCCTTAGTGAATGTCCAATATCTTGAAACATGGTACGACCATTTTCTATCAAAATCATAATATTCAGAGCTACATTAACCGCCGTGATACAGTTGGCTAAAAGGCAAAGTCGATCGATCATTCACAAATATATATTTATAGTAAAGGTTAAGACTGCGTGGAGTTTTCCCCCCACTGTCGCTATACACCTTCATGCTTAGGCATGAGAAACATTTATCTTGATAGTTTAGGGAACACATGTGTGTCTTAACCCTTGTGTGGTTCTAAACAAGCAACGATAAACTGCTGAATCGGTCTGATGGGTTCCGGGAACGTGCCAAAATAACCGGTCATTCAAGCGGCGAGTCAGTGTGTAACAGTTTCGTTGAACTGGTCAAACTCGCAGGGCGAACATATGTTCCCGAAAATCGTATCAGACGCCGCCTACCTTACGACATCATCGTCTAATCCACTTAGCTAGAACAGAAAGCGATTCATGAATCCTAAATTTTGAAAATGTTATTAGGAGTACAGAGTAACCGGTAATAATCTCTAAATAGTTAAAGCAGAGTTAACCATTCATGTAGAAGTATTTCAGGTCTACGTAATAAAGAAAAAGTTTCATAAGTTAAGGTTTCCTGAACAGAAACTCGTAGATGTTTTAAAATATTTTTTAACTTATATATAAAATATTTATATTTGTTTTGTCTTCCCTTTCTGACAGTACACGAGTTTATATAAAAGGCTAAACAAATTCATCGTAACTCCCCAAACAGACCCTAAAATATTTTCATAAATCTACTTTTAACGTTCACTTTTCTGAAAGAAACGCTGGTTTCAATGAATATTTTAAGAGGTGGCCCTGTTTACACAATGCTAATTTTATCATGTTAAGGTAAATCCCTTTGAACAACTACAAAACCCTACAGTCAAAATTTTGTACATATGTAGTTGCGGTGTTCTGTACACACTGACTTTCTCACAGTAATGCATTTGTTATCAGAGTTTATATTTTTTCCAAACGACTAATTAAAAATGACTGTAGGCTTTGTAGTTATCTAGAAGAACGTACCTTAACATGACAAAATCAACACTGATAAACATATAACTTACCACCTCAACTTAAGGTTCTGATTTTTGTTGAGATATGGATGGAAATGAATTGTCAGTTACACGGTTCGACTGCTTTATCCCCTAGAAAAAAGCTGCCGATACTAGATGAGTTTCTGTGTTCCCCGGAGTTGATATGGACGAGATGTTTATAAGAAAAATCCCTGCATGAATGGAACCCCTGACAGTAAACGTGTAACTAATTTAATAAATAGTTCACAATTAAACTGAAAAAAAATTTGGCAGATGGTAGGAAAGTCAACACTTGGAATAATATTTAGGATGACAACTATATGAAATTTGATATCTGTATCAGGGGAAACGATAAGTAATCGAGGCACCCTAAAAGAAACTTAATATGGCTTGGAAGGGGGGAAACACTCTTCATAAAGCAAAGTTTATGATCACATACTCTGCCTGCAGTACCATTTAATCTTTGAGCAATTATTTTAACACATCGATAATTTAATCAGAAACCTTACGTAATGTCTAAAACATGTTCTCCATCGCAGCGTATGGTATGACGGTGAGGTACTAGGTCGATATGTCTGACAGATAAAAATTATCAGGAATCAAAGTAACAGTACAGAAAACACATTACAGATTGATCTGAGGAAATTCACACCGACCAAAAGTCGTGATTTTGTGCTTAGCAACACTGCTTCGTATCTGGAATGAGTCGGGTTCGAATCTCAGCCGGTGTATAATTAGGCTTATCGTGGATTGTTTTTAGTCCCTGCTCCCATATTCTGACGTAGAAAGGCAGACTATGAAAATTAATTGATATAAAAAGGCATCAAAGGAGGCCAAAAATGTGAAGATGGCTAAAGAAGAATTTATTAACTTAGACAACCCTAAATATGGAGCAGGAATATTTTGAGATCAGTGTAGTGATACTTCAAATGTACGCCTCATTTTCAGAAAAATCAACCGTTTCTCAACAGAGGATCTTAACGACTCTTACAGTAAGTTTTGGCATCATCTGGAAAGCTGCTGACACTTTATCAAGATCCGAAATTAATAAACAAGGGATTTAATTTTTACAAAATACGCAGCAATAATTCAAAACAAAAACTCTTCTGCGTCTGCATGCCTCAAAAATTTTGTAACCATTGCGTGAATAGCTCCTGAGAAAATTGTAAATGAATATGACAAATTTATTATTTCCGAAACAGACGGTGCAACGTCCCTTTAAACGTAACCCGATAAAGAGTAGCGTATGTTTTATGTTATAAGTGATGCTGCCATTAGGCACCTTTAGGAAGAACTGCTAAAAGTTATAAGTTTCATTTACTCAATTTTGCTAAATATTTTCTACACGGCGACGAAGGACCAACTCTGGGGATGTCTTTTATTAATCATAAGATCAGAGATCTAAATCAATACAACGCCCATTTACTTTTGAATATATTAATTTGTAAACTACTTCATAATTTATTGTTCCGAAAATACGTCCCTTAATATGTAATTAGACATGCTAAAATATCTTGCCGTTCATTTCTCAACCACAGAATCGCTATAAACAATCCAGAACAATTTTTTGCCAATTCGATAGCATATTTTGCGGCCAAGTTTCCCAAGACAAAAATAAGCCGCAATTCGTTATACTTTACCATTCTAAAGTTACTTACAGCATAAAGCCTTTTGTTATTAATTATACTGAAAAATGTTAGTCACATATATTGTAAACATCAGGCTACACCAAGATGAATTTATATCATACTGTTCCTTTATAAAACCCACACGATTGCCTATTCAGTTTTATACAATGCTTTCCTGTAACTGGGCGCCAGAAACCCGTTATTACTGACGAGTCTTTGAGCAGATTCACACTGAGAGCGACTGATCCAGTGTGTTATAAATTCTGACAAGGATGTCTATACCAGTAGCGTACGTGTGGCCTTCCCTGGGGGGACTTTGATTTCTTCTTATAAAATAAAGAAAGCTGACTTGTGGAAAGTGGTTTATGGCTCTTAGAAACTCGTTTTATGCAATTTTATATAACTTGTGTTTCTTCCAAACCACCACTAAGTGCTTAACTTCACAATCCCATGTCAAAGTTCACACCCACCCACTGACGCTTCTAGTTGCTTATGTTAATCCTTTTACCTGTGTGTGCAGCAGCAGCATACTTGACGCCACAGTGAAGGGTGCAGTGCCGCGGGGTCCTAGGCTGCTCAGTTCAGTCGACACGGCCACCTCCTTGGGCACTTCGGAGCCTGCGCGAGAAAACATCGGTCAAATACACACACACCACTAAGCGGGAACGCCCTGTATATTACTTTGAAAATACTGTATATTACAGGTAGAAATCGCACTATAACAAACATTAAAAGTTTTATCGATTAATCCTTTTAATTTTTTATCAGTATTCTTTAGATTCCCTTCTCATACGCTACAATATTTATATTCGTGCTTCAGTAAAAATGTTATGTTGGTCTGTTTGTAATTAAATGTTGTTATTTACCAATAAAATAGCGATAATTGTCTAAAACCAAAAAAAAGGGTCTATAATCAAGTATTTTATGGAAGAATATTTAAAGATATTAGAATACACAATCTTCCAAACCAAAATGTGCGAATGTATCAAATGCTACGGATAGTGACTTTCAAAATGAGTAACTAAAGCAAGAAATATCAGAAGATTAATGATAATTCAAATATTAAAGTAAAGTATCCCTAAAATCATCAAATTCGCATGGATTGACCACAATTTAAAAATAATAGTGACTTGATAGCTCGAAACTGTAGGATAAGGTAAATAGCATGTTTCTAAAATTCAAAATACCTAGTGTGTTACAGTGTTGTATACCCGCCAAAATTCTCAACATGCGATATCATATTTCTCTTAACTTTTTTGTAATATATTTAGAAAGGAAATCACTTAACTAGTTATGTAATTACACATACGGATAATAGAGTGATTTCAAATATGAAACTGGCTATAAACAAGGGACAATTAATTAATTAATGGTAATATAATTTAAAACATAAAAACGTATGAATAGTACGAAAAGTGTTAAATTAAAAATCAGGCAAGTATGGTAATTCAAAAAGTACAAAAATCACATATCTTATTGATAAATTTAATATCACTTCTCTGACACTTACTTTCTTCCTACCCTTACTACATACGGCATTAAACTTACATCTAAAATCAAGTGACAACTAATTCGTAATCTTAAACACAAACTTCACAACTAAAATAACTAATTATAATTCCGTAAAGGCCTAATGTGTTAATACAGACTGACCGTTATCCGTTGTGGTCAACATTGTTTTCTAACACAAACACAAACACAAACAGTCTTCTCTCATGTTTCCCTCCAAATGTTTCCTGATACTCACCTCCTGCCAAACTTATATAGACGATGAAGAAGGGGTAGGAGGGAAGAGAAATACGTCCCTCGGGAACACAGCAGCTATTAAATCAGTGGTATTTCAAACTTGGAGCGAGTCAGTCTATACAGTTAAGGATGATGATAACGATGACTGGTGATGACGCGATGATGAGATATCTTTATTCTTTCAATTTTTCGACTCTATTTTGTCTCTATCCATAGTGAGGGGGGGGGGGAATCCTGCTCACGGAGCGGAACAATTGTTTTCAGCGCATGGACGCGGTGCGTCGTTGCTTTTGTTTGTTCGATACAGACAAGTTTCGAGTTCCATAATCCCACAATTAAACTAATGAGTGTCTGTGTGTGTGAGCGCTTAACAGGCGCGTCGGTCTCTAAGGATATTATAGGCTGCTGGGATAAATGATAACAAGGTAGCCATTAGCTAGGAGGAAGTTACATTTCTGATAAATTAATTTCAGATTTTATAGCATTTGCTCAGATTCTCTGAATAAATGCTATGATTTACTTACACACCACTTTTTAAAATGGTCTATGGTAAAAGTTCTAAGTTGGGCTTTGTCGCGACAAAAGAGTTGACTTAAGAAAATAATGGAATTTGTGTAAATATGTAAGCACTGCTTCCATAAGTAACAATTTTATTGAAACAAATTTTTAAACTGATAAATATTAGCTCCTCTTTAATTCAACTCGTATTCTGAAAACTAAACAGGCGTGTCAATATTTGTAATTATTATTTTCGAGTTTCTGGTTATTCGAATCTTAATAGTACCAACTACATAGGAAAATTCGGTCTTTAATTTAACGATAGCGTAAAAGTTAGAAAAGAAATTAGCTATAACAGTGCAATTGGCTGCTCAGAAATTAGCGCAGTCCAGGACAACCAAAGATCTCGAACAACGTGGATTATAATCAAAGATTATCAGGTGATACTGATAGGTAGACACGAAATGATAACGGGTAAAGTTTTCGACATGGACATGCATTTGTTATTAGCAAAACCACTCTTATTTATTGGCAAATAGGCTTCGTTATTCAGAAGGACACATGGAAGTCGTAGAGTGCAGATGGGAGAAACACAAAATAGTAAGATTGAATTATAGTATCAGTTAAAAAATCTAACAAATTATATGGCTACCCATTGTAATTTATGAAAGATTGTATATATAATTTATAGCACGACAATTTTCAACAAAAATGAAGACAATATACAATGTCTAAGACTCGAATTAATTATGCACTTGAACAATCTAATATTGGGGTTCTTAACCCAACAGGACCAAGGATCACATTTACAATTTTTTATCGACTCGCGGGCCACTAATTAGCAAATAATGACAATTTACTGAACTGCATGACAAGTGTTCAACAATCTTACTAACTTATTACCGGAAACAGGTTCATATATTAGCGTCCTCAGTAACTTTCTTTAAAAAAATTGTTGATTTGTATTTATTATTCAATTAAAATTAAACATTTTATTAATACAATAACTACTTATTCGTTATGCAAGTGGTACACTATTACAGCCATTCACACGAACAGCACAGGACAGACACGCGGGCCGCGGGTTAAGAACCTGATTTAACTCTTCCTAAACCGATAAAGTAATTCGATATCGATACGGAATTCCATATCGACTACCAAAAGAAATAAACAATTGTACACCAAATTTCTACCGCGAATTTTATGTATTACGGGCTAAGTAGGAGCTGAAAAATGATTCGAATTATTTTGTTACCTTCACAGATATGATCTAAAACAACAAGCATTTGAGGAAGTAGCTTCAGTATTTAGAAAAGGTGTCCACGTTATTGCAAACAATACAAAACAAGAATCTTGTCGTGGAAACGCTAACTTAAAAGTCTTTTAATTTGTTTCGTAACGCAGCTGTTCCCATTCTAGCCGAGAGAAGGCGGCATCATGCTGTGTGTTATGGCAACAGAGAATTTCTTACGTAATTATTGTTCCGGAAAAGACCTATAGATGGCACTAAAGTAAACCATTGTACTTCAAATTAAGGTAAGTTGTTCCAAGTATTAATAATAGCTTTTACAAGAAGCTTGTTCGCCTAGCAAAAGAAACAGAATTGCATTAGGAGTTTAATAACTTTCACACCCTCGGGGGAGAAGTGACATAATTAATGCATTTCGGTTTTTCACAACTAAACATACGCTGTTGTGAAACACGATATTTGTTTTACTGAACTAAGGTTGTAGATATGCTCGCCTTTGACCCTAACCACCTACATATCCGCGAGAAAGTTCCCTTGCCATAATACTAATATTTATGACACAAATGTCAACTTCTGTTTTCAGTTTAAAGAGGAAAGTATTTTTCCCATCGATATGCATTTTTTGCAGTAATTAATTAAAACGTGCAGTGAAATATTTATTCAGAAGTAGGTACATGTGATGTTGTGAGAAAGGTGTCTGACCACGCTGCTGGTGGTCGTCTAGACCGCTTGCAGTGACGGGAAACGAGCAGATTTCGTCTATAAAACAATTTCAGCTTTGACCCTTATTTCTGATGTATGTGTACAACGCTGTTCCTTAACTTGTGAGAAAACACAAATTACAGATTATAAGTCACTTGAATTTAAAAAACTACGTAGTTAAGCGAATAATTCAGTCTGTTAGAAAAGGAATCAATTAATAAATTATATGGGAAGATAATATTAAGACAGATCTCAGGTAGAAACGTTCTGAGTATGGGAATTGGATGAAGCTGGCTTAGGATCGTGTGGAGTGGCAGTCTTTGATATTAGCGGCATTGAACCTTCCCCACATTCTGTCATCCCGATGTTAGTCGTTAGTAATTACAGCTACTGAATTCAAGGGGGGGGGGAAACTGTTTTCTCTAGACTTTTATGAACATTTAAACGTGAGTATTTATCAGGCTATAAAACAAAGAATTTTAAATAGGATCCCGTAGAAGTTAGCTAACGTTTCAAAGGTTCTTACTGCCTCCATCATGAGGGCGATGATAACAATTTGAACAGGAAGATGTAGAATTGGTCCCGAGTTGTTTTGCGTGCAAGGTTTGACGTTGATATATAATTAAAATCTGACTTAGATTGATGCAAACCAGTTCGTAGTTCCTAAAACAAAAAAGTACTGTTCAGTGAATGTGTCGCGTTATATCCGCCGTCCAGTGCTGCTAGTAGTTGAACTAGTAGTTTCATATTCCGTCAATAGATGTCGTAAGCTTCAGGTAAACATCAGACACGTACGGCGCTAGTGTCAGATGCACAGTACGTACTCCGGATGAAATACAGATACAGTAGATTCCGGTTAATTGGGCCATTGCTTATTCCGGGTAGCCGTTTATTTGGCACAAATCTTAGAGAACAATGCTTTTTAATTCTTTACGTGGAACTTTGAATAATTGGGCCAGCCGCTTAATTGGGCCAAAGTGTTCTAGTCCCGACGTGTCCCAATTTACCTGAATCCACTGTATTTAACTTATTAAGAAATAAACAAGCACCCAAATTGTTGCTTGATTTAATTATTTTTTCAGTTCCTGCTCGATTCACTTTTTGTTTTGTTCTGCATTATAAATTATACGTTAGCTTAGAAATGCATCAAGAACCAAAGAAGGATTTTTAAATAAAATATTCAGATTTAAAAGGGTAATGAATATTTTAACTATGTTTAAAAACTTATAAACAATAATAAGTCCTGATTTTACCGTTGGTTACGCAGCATCGAATGCTATGATAATATGGCGAATTGGAAAGGACGTGGGAGAAAGGAGTCGTGGCCTATTTTAAGACACTGCTTCGGTAATTGCCGGTTATAAATTCGAATCCGTGACCTCGCAAGCACGAAGCAGGAGTGCTAACACTTAAACCGAACATT